GTCTCATCGAACGGATATATAACGTCAGCGTCTAATCGAACAGATATTGCGAAACGTATGGGTGACAATTTGTAACACTTTGGTTATCATAAACCAAGGACTAATCGAAAGGATATACCGTCACCGTAATATCGTTCCTGCGATATGCACCACTTTATCGCCATAGTCTCATCGAACGGATATATGACGTGAGCGTCTAATCAAACAGATATTGCGAAACATATGGATCATATCCTTCAAATTGTTATTTTTTGTGACGCTTTGCGATTGCAACAGTCGCTGTACGAACTCAATCTTCATAGTACTCTCGAAGTACGAGTAAAAAGTGCCAGTGTGCCAGTACATGTGTTGGAGAAGGCGACCAAAAACTTGAGGTAAACAAAACTTTATTTTTGTAATGATAATAGAAAATTCCATTCGACAAGTACAATGTAAGGTAAAATTGAATAAAACACACACACTAATTTTATTTTATATATATGTTTGTAGAAAAAATAAATAAATAAAGATGAAACCACCAGCGGATATTGTAATTGACGGGGTAGATCCCCGGTAACATGAATTCTACGATGTTTTACGAGAATGTCATTGCTTCCGGGCACTTGAACCCGGAAGCCACTATTTCGAGGAAAATTATCCATGCAGGCGCATATGCGCAGACTGCGCTACGAACGAAGATGAAGAGGAGCTCGAATATTACGCGCGCTTGGAGAATTGGCACACATTATGTGGGCCATTTTTCGCAACGACAATGCAGCAGAAGGAACAATGCCACAAATGCAATAAAATAATAGTAACAGCTCGACCGGCAATAGATTTTGAGGGATCGATTTTGAAAGGAAGGTATTGATAAGAAATTTAGATGCGTTAGGAGATTATTTATAATTAATCATCATTTTTTACGAATAAAGTATTATTTTTATCATTGAAAGAAGAATTTCCTGCGATATGCACCCCTTTATCACAGTCTCATCGAACGGATATATAGCGTCAACGTCTACTCGAAAGGATATTGCGAAACATATCAAATTGTTATTTTTGTAACGCTTTCATCGTCATAGACCAACGCCCACTAACCCTAATACTAACCCAACCCTAACCTAATAAAAGGGCATCTCGAGATGCGCATTTCATTATTTGAGTTTGCACCGCATGCATTTCATCATTCGAGTTTGCACCGGTTCTTCACAATGACCACAATGTTCGCACGCATCATAGTTACCTGTACAGTAGCTACGATGCTTATATGTGTGTATATTGTCGCTGAGTGTAAAGTCATCAAGTACAACAATGAAGTAGCGATACAGTATCTGCAGAAATACGGATTTTTGAACGAGACGATGGATACGTTTGCAACCAGTGAAGATCAGCTGGTTCTTCGGCACGCTATCAATCTCTTTCAAGAATACTACAGATTACCTGTCACTGGTAAAGTGGACAACGCAACTCTAAGCCTGATGAGTAAACCGCAATGCGGTCTACGTGACATATTGACTTTCGGAGAGGGCAAAGTTATACATAAGTGGCCGAAACGACACTTAACGTGGAATTTTCACTTGGCCAACAGAGCGCTCTTGGATACAACTCAGACGGCGTTCGATTTGTGGCAGACACATTCGTCGCTAACGTTTGAACGTGCTGTTGAAAACCCAAATATTCTGATATCGTTGCGCAAAGGCCATCATATGTTCCTCGATCGTCGAAACAGTGAATTGTGCTCGAGCGTTTTCGACGGTCCCGGCGGCACGTTGGCTCACGCGTTCTATCCCAATGGAGCGTCGGATTTCACGTCGGAGGTTCACGTCGACAAGACGGAACAGTGGCATATACAGGGTGCTTTAGACCACCCGTACAGCCCCTTTATTTCGGAAATAGAACATTTTAGAGAAAAATGTTTCCGGCAAAAGTTATACGATTTTAAAAGGGCTATATAATGAAAAAATAAATTTTCGAAAAAATAAATCTTTTATGGTTATATGGAGGTCGCTGTCATTTTTTTAAATGGAACTCCCTACTGTTTAATATACTATGTTATTCTACTAATTAATATAAACAACTTTTGTCTGAAACATTTTTTGATTTGCCTAATACTTTTTGAGACATTCAAGACAAAATTTATAACTTTTTACATGTTTAGCTTATAATATCTCGATAACTGTTTGTCGGAGGGAAAAGTAGTACAGGACTTTTTTACTTGATTTAGTCTCAGGAATATGCTGTTGCAATGGTGTTTCAATTATTGAAAATTTTTGTGTATGTAAATTTTATGTGTTACAATTCATAAACCATTGCAACAGCATATTCCTGAGACTAAATCAAGTAAAAAAAGTCCTATACTACTTTTCCCTCCGACAAACAGTTATCGAGATATTATAAGCTAAACATGTAAAAAGTTATAAATTTTGTCTTGAATGTCTCAAAAAGTATTAGGCAAATCAAAAAATGTTTCAGACAAAAGTTGTTTATATTAATTAGTAGAATAACATAGTATATTAAACAGTAGGGAGTTCCATTTAAAAAAATGACAGCGACCTCCATATAACCATAAAAGATTTATTTTTTCGAAAATTTATTTTTTCATTATATAGCCCTTTTAAAATCGTATAACTTTTGCCGGAAACATTTTTCTCTAAAATGTTCTATTTCCGAAATAAAGGGGCTGTACGGGTGGTCTGAAGCACCCTATATATATCGATGTGGGTCCACAATACAAATATAATTTGCTGTACGTGTTGACTCATGAAATCGGTCATTCGTTAGGATTAGATCATAGTCACGACGCTACGTCGATAATGTATTCATTCATACTTGACAGTACTTTTCCTGTCACACTAAATACCGAGGACATTATAAACATT